ACCGTCCTCATCCTCAGCCTCATCATGAACAGCATCATCATCATCCTCTTTGCCGTGAACATAAGCATCGTCATCCTCAGCGTTTGAATCGCCGTTGTCGCCATCATAAAAATCAACACCGCGATCAGCATCACTATCGACATCACCATCATATGCATCAGCAGCGAAACCAACAGCAACAACAACATCACCAACATCATCATCTACATAATCATCATCATCAACATCATCACCACCGTCACGATCACCGTCGTCATTTGTATCACCATCATCATCCGTTTCACCGTCGCCAGTGCCATTGTCATCCATATCCTCATATGCATCAGCACCACCAACACCACCAGCAGCATAACCATAACCATCAGAAACACCATCATCCGAATCATCATCCTTACCCTCTCCGTCTTTATCATCATCCACATCGTCATCCTCATCATCCACATCATCATGTTGATCATCATCGTCATCACCACCACCTCCTCCACATCCTATTAGTCCTCCTCCTGCCCATGATGTTGATCATGCTCCTCATCCTCATCACCATCACCGTAACCACCATTACGATCATCCTCACACTCATCCCCACCCGCACCATCACCATAATGTTTGTCCTCATCCGAAACATCATCATCATCATCATCATCATCATCATCATCATCATCATCACCATCATCATAACATCACCACCATTTTCATCATCAACAGCATCATCATTATCAACACCGTCGTCTTCATATCCATCACCATCACCATCACCACCACCATCCTCATGACCTCCACACCCAGTGCCACCAATACGACCACCACCACCATCATCATCACCATCTCCATCATTATCGCCATCACCTTCGCCGTCACCATCACCGTCACCATCATCATCGTCATCCGCATCATCATCGCCATCGCAATCATCATTATCATCGCCGTCATCAGCAGCACCATCACCATCATCATCAGCACCAGCATAATCACCATCACCATCACCATCACCATGACCATCGTCATCACCCTCATCCTCGTACTCCTTCCCTCACCCCCCGCACCCACCCTCCCTTCCTCCCCGTCCTTCCCTCACCCCCTCCCTCGTCTGCCATGGGAGAAAACAAGGACAAAACGAAAAAAGGCAGCAGCAGGGGGCAGCAATCGGCGCCCACTCCTCGCCGCCCCCCACTCCCTTCCGCGGCGCGCCTCCGGCGCGGCCTCCTCCGCCAGCCGCGCGCGTTCCCCGTGCTCGCAAGGCAGCCTCGGAGGGGAGGGGGGAGGCGAAAGAGTGGAGGAACGCGATGGGGGCTCGAGAGAGTGAGCCCGGGCGGGCGGCGGGCCGCGCAAGGGGGGGGAGGGGGGGGGGCGGAAAGGGGGAGGCAAGGCAGGTGCGCTCGAGTCATTTCTGACGTCCCACCCCTCCGTCCCATCCTTTACCATGGCGTAGATATCCTCTCTTTTCGCACAGTCGGATGCCAAGCAGGGCAATGGTCGCGAGTGGGTACGCAATGCATGATAGAGCACGGCATGGCATGGCAAAGAAGAGCACGGCAGAGCGTAGCATGCCATAGCATGTTGTGGCATTGCGAAGTGGATCATTGCATCGCAAAGCCTTGCAACGCAAAGAATGGCATCGCACAGAAGAGCAGAACACAACACCGCACAGCACGTCATGGCATGGCGCCAGGTTCTTTGGAGGGCAAGTGGATCGTCTTCGAAAGATCTGGGGCTGTCTGGGATCGAGGCTCCATGTCTAGATCCTTGGGCTCCCTGGAAAGCTCCACGCAAGGCGTGGCTGATGGAGAGCACTTGCTGGCTCTGCTTTCAACATCGCCTTCTCGAATGAAACGGGGCTCCCACTTGATACTTCCTGAATGCGACGACGCCCCAAAGTGGGGGGGCTTCGGCGGCCCAAAGCTTCAACGAATCGACGCCGAATGAGACCAGCGCTGTAGCGGGAGCACGATTCGGAACGAGCGGAAGCCCGAAAATGAGGCCTGCGCTTCAGCTGGAGCAACATTTTGAAAACAACATCAAAGCGAGAACCCAGTTTCCAGGAATCCGTTGTAACAGACAGTGCACGGCGGGGAGAGAGGAGAGTAGTATTCAGGTTGTGTAGCTGTGCCTGAAGGAGGGAGGGAGGAAATGGGGAGGGGGAGGGGGGGGGAAGAGGGAGAAGGAGAGGGGGGAGGAGGGAGGAGGAGAGGGCGGATGGATGGATGGATGGGAGGAAGTCCTCCCAGCGAGGTAGCTTGTTGAGACTGCGGGCGCAGCCTCTTTAGAAGGGAGCTGCCAGGCCCAGTGGGCGTCCGACAGCAGCCCAGCAACGTCGGCCCTGGGAGCTGCCCAGAGACCTCCGAAGTCCCCGAGGATCTCTGGGGACCTCCGCAAGCCCCCGAAGGCCGAAAAACTACCTCCGAAGGCCCGCGAGGACCGCCGCAGGCGTCGAGGCCCTCAGAGGGTCTCCGAGGACATCCGAAGGAGAGGGAGGCGCAGAAAGAGGGTAAGGGGGAGGTGGATGAGGAGGAGGAGGAGCTGAGGAGGGGGCGGAGGACAAGGAGGAGGCGGAGGAAGAAGAGGAGGAGGAGGAGAAGGATGAGGAGGAGGAGGAGGAGAAGGATGAGGATGAGGATGAGGGTGAGGATGAGGATGAGGAGGAGGAGGAGGAGGAGGAGGAGGAGGAGGAGGAGGAGGAGGAGGGGAGGAGAGGAGGAGGGAGGAAGAGCCGGAAGGAAAGGATGAGGAGGAGAAAAGGGAAGAGGAGGAGAATCGAGATGAGGACAGGGAGACCTAGAGGACAAGCAACGCTAAATATAGCAGCAACAACAACGGTACAAATGGTCATACAAATCCCCCGAAGTTGCAGATACGAGTGATGGGGCGCGAGTGGGCCGCGGGCGAAGACGACGACAACAACGCAACGCAACGCAGCAAGCAAGATCCGCGGCGCGGAATCACACTTCAGCCACGAGCCCCGGGGTAGTGAAAGACCGTTCCGCCCCCCCCCAGGCCTCGAGAGGGCCCCAAGACGGACACTGAAGGCAACGGACTGCCCAACAGCCCCCGAGGACGGCCCACGGAACCCGCAAAAGGCCCCGAGAGGCCCCTCCAAAAATGGCCCCAGGAGAGAAGAGGAAGAAGAGACGACGGCGAACACTAGGAAAGACGCCCCGACACGAAGCGGAAGAGCTCTCACAGGCCTCGAGGATCGAGGTGTCAAATGTTGCGCGCTCCTGTTCGCGACTCGACGATCGCCACCAATAGTGCCAGGCTGGCTCGGTGGCAGGCAGCTGAATATTCTTACAAACATCTTGGGGCCTGATCCACCATCCGCTGTCATACATACTCACTGAGCCTCACTAGGTATGCCACGGATTGTTTTTATTGTTCCGCGATAGCGGCCGTCACCTGGCCCCGCGCACACTCCCCACCAGGTGACGTCACGCTCCGCGCCACCGGTGTCCAGGAGCCTGGGGATAGCCGTGGCCACGTCGGAGCAACATGTGAGTGGCGAGCTGCGCTACAACGCCCGTGTAAACCACCGTGCTCACGTGCACCACAGCGCGCGTGCACACCACAGCGCCTGTGCACGCTGCATCGGACGCGTGCAACTGCAACGCAGCGCCTGTGTACACCACGCTGCTTGCGTGCGAAGCACGGCGCCTACGTACACCATCATGTTCGCGTGGGCTGCAACGCCTGTGCTCTCGACAACGCCTGCATACACTACAATATCCGTGTGCAACGCAACGCCGGTGTACACCATATTGCGTGCGCGCACAGGGCAAGCAAAAGGAGCGCGTAAGTGAGGATCTGCTGCGGACAGCTGAACACCACGCAGCGGGATGCTGATAATCGAATGCGAAGTTTGTCTGTTGTCCGTCCTCCTAGTCACACTCCTCCTCTTCCTCCTCCTCCTCCTCCTCCTCCTCCTCCTCGTTCTCCTCCTCATCCTCCGTCGCCCTTCTCCCCGTCGTGCGGGTCGGCGCTACAGCGCACGTGCGCATATCAGTGTAAACCGCAGAATGGAAATGGGCACCAATAGCGGAAATAAGCGGTAAGCATGTTCGCTCGTGCCATGCAGCACCACGGTGCCATGCCACAGCGCCCCCATGCCACAGCGCCCCCCACCGCTGCATCCACAGTGCCCCACGCCTCAAGCGAGTTCCTTCAGGAGGACGCCGCCCCTCTCTGTGCGCGCCCCGATGCCCAAGGCACGGCACCTCCTCCTCCTCATCCTTCTCCTCCTCCTCCACCTCCTTCTCGGAAGGACCCGTAGATTCCTGAGGCGCTCCATTATCCAAAAGGAATCCGTTCCCAAATCCTATATAACAAAAACTCCGGTGGAATGAACAGGCGTTCCATTTTGTCGTAAGGAGTCCTTCCAACATTCTATATACAACATTGGTGTTCCGTAGCGCACGTCTGCTGAGGTGCACGCAGGCGCCGTGGTGCAAAAGGCGCTGTGGTGCACGCAGGCACTGTGGTGTACTCTGGTGCTGTGTTGCACACGGCTATTGTGGTGTACGGAGGCGGTGTGGTGTACACAAGCGCTGTGGTGCACGTAGGCACTGTTGTGCACACTGGCGCTGTGTTACACGCGGCTGCTGCGGTTTGCATAGGCGCTGTGGTGTACAGAGGCGCTGTGGTGCACGCGCGCACTGTGGTTCACACCAGCGCTGTGATACAAATCTCTACCGACATGCTGCTCCTGAGCGTCGTCGGCCATTCCCAGAAATTCCCAGACGTTGCCGGCGCGAAACGTGACGTCACCAGCCCCCTTCACCCACCCACCCCCAAGGGACGCCCGTTATCGCCCTGGCATAAAAAAGGCTCCATCGCCTGCCCTCGCTGCTGGTGACCCCCGCCTTACACCAGCGACCCGCGACTGCCGAAGTGGATGACCACGATTTCATGATGTGCACGGCCACCCGGGAGCCTGATCCACTACCCGGACGCACTGACGGGGAGGCGGAGGCGGAGGAGTCGGGGGAAGGGGGGCCTGCCACGCTGGCCGCTCACTGGAAGGCGATGGCGGAGGCCGCGCCTGCGGTGGCGAGCTTCTGCCCCTTGCGGGAGCGGAGGCTCCGCAGCTGCCTGGTGGGCCTCGGGAGCGCGACGGGGCGACCGCCCACGAGCAGCGTCGGCTTGAACTCGTCGGGGACCTCGTCGCGCATAACGGGGCTGTTGCGATAGCGCTCGATGTTCGCCTCCCGGCCTTGCGTCTCGCTCCAGCACACGTTGCAGACCTGCTCGGACTCCACTCCCCAATCGCTGAAGCCCTCGAAGACGCGGAAGAACCGCTCCAGGTGCGCCTGGCTCGCCAGGTTTAGGAACGCGTATCCGACGGTCTGCGAGAGCTCGAAGTTGACTGGGAGGTACAGAAAGTCGCAGTGCTGCGAGAACCCATGCAGCGCAAGCAGGTCGATCAGTCTCTGTCGGGTGTAGCACGGCGGCAGATTCCTCATCATCACCGTGCCACCCTCGGGGCCAGAAAAGAGGTGGGCAAGTCGCATGGAGGAAGGAGAAGAGGAGCAGGAGCACGGATAATGAAAATATTACCTGCCATCCTACTCCGTATCCCTCTCCTCCTCGTCGTCCCCATCCCCTCCATCATCAGCACAATCATCATCACAAGCATCATCATCAGCACCATCATCATAGTCATGATCATCATCATCATCATCATCATCATCACAATGATCCTACGACTTGCAATCATCATCATCAGCATCATCAACATCATCATCATGATCATCAGATACAGCTTCATCACGGTCAATCGCATCACCAATCTCATGCTAATCAACATCATCAACAACAGCATCGGCATCGACATTAGCACCGTCATCGGCATCCACACCAGCGCCTTCGTAACCATCTCATCAATACAATCATGCTTGCCATCAGCATCGCCCATCTTCTCCCGTAGTCCTCCTTGCTCACATACATACCGACGTCGACCACGGTTGCCGATATGCTGTCGGCATTACGGAGGTAGGTTGGTAAACCACGCTTGACCTGGTCAAATGAAAAAATCCTCGCGAACCCCTTCCCAATCATCATCAGATTCGTTACCTTCCTCCCCCTTGTCATCTGCCTCGTCTCCATCATCACCACCACCACCATCACCACCACCACAATCACCAGCATCAAAAATGTCATCATCATCAGCATCAGCAACATGAGCAATATCATCAATTTCATCGTCGTCATTATGAGCCTCATCATCATCACCATCATCAAGGCCGTTACCATCATGAGAATGATGAGCAGCATCGTCGTCATCGTCATCAGCATCATTCTCATCGTCATCAATCATCATCATCAGCAGCAGCAACATCATCATCAGCGTCATCGTCATTGTCCTCGCCGTCAGCATCAGCAGCCAAAGCATAAGCCCCCCCTCCCCTCCCCCTCGAAAGCCGGGGGGGGGCACTACCGGTTCGAACCTCCCCCCCCCTCCTCGAAAACCGGAGGGGGGTCACTGCCAGTTCGAACCCCTCCCCCCCCCCTCACCGCCAGCAAACGACTCCCGGTCCCCACCACCGTCCGCACCACATCCCCCACTGTTGTTCCCAGCACCACAGTCCTCACCACCACTGTCCCCACTGGTTCCACCACCGTCCCTACTGTCCCCACCAGTGCCCCCACCACTGTCGCACTGTCCCCACTGTCCCCACAACTGTTCCCACCACGGTTCCACTCTCCCCACTTTCTCCACCGCCCCAACTACTGCCCGACTATCCCCACTGTCCCACTGTCCCCACTGTCCCGCTGACTCCTCCGCTGTCCCACTGAGCTGTCCCACTGTTCCCATCACTGTCCCCACTGTACCTCTGTCCCATTGTCCCACCGCCGTCCTCGCCACCGCCTTCATCACTGTCCCCACCACCACTGCACCCTCCACTGTCCCACTGTTTCCACCACATTCCCACTGTCCCCACACCGCTGTCCCCACCACCACCGTCCCCACCACTGTCCCACTGTTTCCACCATTGTCCTCTCCACTGTCCCCACCACTACCGTCCCCACCACTGTCCCACTGTCCCCACCACTGTCCCGCTGTCCCCTCACCACTGTCCCCACCTCCACCGTCCCCACCACTGTCCGCACCCCCCCCCGGTTTTCGAGGGGGGGGGATTCGAACCGGTAGTGACCCCCCCCGGTTTCGAGGGGGGGGGGCGGTTCGAACCGGTAGTGACCTCCCCCCCCTTTTCATGATGGACTGGGGGGGGGGAGGGGTTCGAACCAGTAAGACCGCCCCCGGTTTTCCGGAGGGGGGGGGGGGGGTTCGAACCGCTAGTGACCCCCCCGCCGGTTTTCCTCCAGCAACGGTAGAACACGCTCTTTCTTATGGAGAGCGTGTGTGTCTGTGTGTGTGTCTGTGTCTGTGTGTGTCTGTGTCTGTGTCTGTGTCTGTGTCTGTGTCTGTGTCTGTGTCTGTGTCTGTGTCTGTGTCTGTGTCTGTGTCTGTGTCTGTGTCTGTGTCTGTGTCTGTGTCTGTGTCTGTGTCTGTGTCTGTGTCTGTGTCTGTGTCTGTGTCTGTGTCTGTGTCTGTGTCTGTGTCTGTGTCTGTGTCTGTGTCTGTGTCTGTGTCTGTGTCTGTGTCTGTGTCTGTGTCTGTGTCTGTGTCTGTGTCTGTGTCTGTGTCTGTGTCTGTGTCTGTGTCTGTGTCTGTGTCTGTGTCTGTGTCTGTGTCTGTGTCTGTGTCTGTGTCTGTGTCTGTGTCTGTGTCTGTGTCTGTGTCTGTGTCTGTGTCTGTCTGTGTCTGTGTCTGTGTCTGTGTCTGTGTGTCTGTGTGTCTGTGTCTGTGTCTGTGTGTGTCTGTGTCTGTGTCTGTGTCTGTGTCTGTGTCTGTGTCTGTGTCTGTGTCTGTGTCTGTGTCTGTGTGTGTGTCTGTGTCTGTGTCTGTGTCTGTGTCTGTGTCTGTGTCTGTGTCTGTGTCTGTGTCTGTGTCTGTGTCTGTGTCTGTGTATGTGTCTGTGTCTGTGTCTGTGTCTGTGTCTGTGTCTGTGTCTGTGTCTGTGTCTGTGTCTGTGTCTGTGTCTGTGTCTGTGTCTGTGTCTGTGTCTGTGTCTGTGTCTGTGTCTGTGTCTGTGTCTGTGTCTGTGTCTGTGTGTCTGTGTCTGTGTCTGTGTCTGTGTCTGTGTCTGTGTCTGTGTCTGTGTCTGTGTCTGTGTCTGTGTCTGTGTCTGTGTCTGTGTCTGTGTCTGTGTCTGTGTCTGTGTCTGTGTCTGTGTCTGTGTCTGTGTCTGTGTCTGTGTCTGTGTCTGTGTCTGTGTCTGTGTGTCTGTGTCTGTGTCTGTGTCTGTGTCTGTGTCTGTGTCTGTGTCTGTGTCTGTGTCTGTGACTGTGTCTGTGTCTGTGTCTGTGTCTGTGTCTGTGTCTGTGCCTGTGCCTGTGCCTGTGCCTGTCTGTCTGTGTCTACGTCTGTGTCTGAGTCTGTGTCTGTGTCTGCGCCTGTGCCTGTGCCTGTGTCTGTGTCTGTGTCTGTGTCTGTGTCTGTGCCTGTGCCTGTGTCTGTGTCTGTGTCTGTGTCTGTGTCTGTGTCTGTGTCTGTGTCTGTGTCTGTGTCTGTGTCTGTGTCTGTGTCTGTGCCTGTGTCTGTCTGTGTTTGTGCCTGTGTCTGTGTCTGTGTGTGTGTGTCTGTGTCTGTGTCTGTGTCTGTGTCTGTGTCTGTGTGTGTGTGTCTGTGTCTGTGCCTGTGCCTGTGTCTGTGTCTGTTGACGCGGGGCCTATAAAGGCTGAAAAGAAGCCCACAAAGGGCCCAGGCCCCACTGAGGGGCCAAAGCCACAAGGGGCCGTCCCAAGACAGGGGGCGGGCCACAAGGGATCCCGAGAGCCCAGACGAGCCGCAGAGGCAGCCACCAGGGCACATCGCCCCCGAGGCACCGCTCGGCCTGCCAGCTCAGACCCCCGTCGAGGGGCATCAGCGCGAAGCGCTGGAATATATACAACAGTGCAGACACGCGACGGGCGACGCCCCGAACATGCTTGCACAGCCCCAAGCGGCACGGCAAGGCAGGCGAGGCGCAGGAAGCTTCACGCCAACACGCCGAGGCCCGCGGCCACCAGGGGTCCAAAACGGACGGGCAGACAGGAGACGGACGCAGAGGGAGGACAGGAGGAGAGGCAGGCTGGCGCTCCACTGCCAGGAGCGCCCAAGGCTCGGCACACGCCCGTTCGCGCGAGCCGAGCGCCCCAAGGCTGGGGCCAGCGCGGACTCAGTCTCCTCCATCTCCGTCACCTCTGCGCCGCTTCCTGCTCTGGCGCCCACGACGGGCCTCGTCGGCCTCCTCAGCCCAGCTCAGCAGGCTCTCCTCGTCGAGGCCGTAAGCTTCAAGCCAGGCCTGCCGCGATCCCGCTCCCGCCGCGGCGCCGCCAGCTGCAGCGGGCATCTCGGTCGAGGAGGAGGCCGCAGCGCCAGCGCCGCCCCCAGCAGCGTCTGCCGCCGAGGCGCTGCCCTCGACGCCTGCTGGGGCATCGGGCTGGACCCCGAGCCACTTCAGGAAGCGCACCCTGGCGTCCTGCGGCACCTCGGCCTCCTTGCGAAGGCGGGGGGCCTCCGCCCCCTTCCTCCGCGCGTCGCGGACGTGCGGCGTGCCCCCTGGGTGGAGGCCACGCTCCCACCGCGACTTCCGGTCCCGCAGCGACCTGGGGAGGCCCGTTGCGCCAGGACAGCGCTCCCTGAGCTTGGGCTGCGGGCCAGGGCGCCCGCCAAGCCTCGCATGCGCACCGCGCCTGGTGCACGCAATGATCTCCTGCTGGTCGCCGTCCTCTCCGCACCTGGCGCACGCGAGGGCGTGCCCTGCGACGGCGAAGACCAGGGCGCCCAGCGCTACTCCTCCGTCGCGCGCCGCCGAGGCCCAGGCGCCGACAGCGGCGGGGCGGCTGCCAGCCTGCTCCCCGCGTGCCCCCGCGGCGGCGGGCGGGGCGCCCGGCCCGTTCACGGGGGCCGCCCGCGGGCCGTCAGCGCACTCCTCCAACGGGACCGCGAAGGTGACAGCAGTCCTCCGTTCGTCGCACCCAGGAAGGCCCTCGCAGTCCTTGGAGCCCCTGTCCTGCCAGACGATCGAGGCCTGCGCGATCCACCTGGAGAGCTCTCTCACGACCTCCATTGCGCCGAAGAACTCCCGCCTGGCCGCCGCGCTGACCCTGTGGAGGGCCGCCCCCGCCTTCGCCAGCCTGCCGGCGTGGGCGTTCCCAAGCAACTGAAACTCCGAGATCCTGCCCTCGCGAGCATCCATCTCGGCGCAGTGGGCCGCCACCTTGTTCACAGTGAGCGAGTCGACGTCCAGCGAGGCGTAGACGGCCGACCACAGGTGTGCATTGGGCTTGTTGGCAGCCGTCGCATACTTCCTGCCGAGCTTCAAGCAGCTGGCTGTGGACGCACAGTCGATGTTGATCTCGATGATCGAAGGCCCGAGGTAGCGGCTCAGCATCCAGACCGCGAAGTCCTCGCCGTCCTTCGCCGTCTGGAAGGGGCACAGGTCGAGGCGGACCGCGCCGTGCACCCCCGCCTCCATGTTGCCGACCTCGTCGAACTGCACGATACTCCAGCCAGCCCTGCGGATGCCCTCGAACTCAGGGTCGAGCGCCGAGCCGTCGAGGAAGAGGCGACCGCCTAGCAGCCCGTCGGCAGGCCTGTTCACCCAGGTGACTGCCATCGCGTCCGACCTCCAGGCCGTCTGAGGGGGCTGCGGCAGCCAGCACCTGGAGAAGCACTCCCCCGCTTCCTCACCTCGCTGCCTCACTCGAGTGGCGCAGCGAAGGAGGCGGGCTGACACCGAGTCCCTCCTCACAGCGGCCAGGGCTTGGCACTCGAAGAGCCTGCGCCAGAGGCTGCCACGCCCTTCGCCGCAGGCGCAGCAGCGAGGGCGGCCCCGCTCACCAGCCGCGAAGAGGCGAGTCTGCGGCCAGTGGGCGTTGGACAGGTAGCTCACCACCGCGGCCTTCTCCCTGCTGCTGAACCTGCCGCGCGGCCCGATGACCTGGCCGAGTGCGTCCCAAAACAAGGGCATGGAGGGGGCGGCTCCGTGCCCAAGCCGCGTCATCTCAGCTCTGTCGGAGGCCCTGCGGGCACCTGCCGCGGCCAGCAGCCAGAGCTCGCGGGGGCCCATGATCAGCCAGTCCAAGGTGTGGCCGTCGTCGGCGTGCAGGATGTGCCCAGCCGCGAGGCGCCACCTAACCCGCAACAAAAAGAAGGCCAGGGCGTCGACTGGGTTCTTGCAGTTCACCCAGGGCACCCTGGCGCTGCCGTGCCTGCGCTCGGCCTCCTCCAGGCAGGTAGCGAACATCCTCGGGGGCACCTCGCCCGTCTGGAGGAGGCTGGCTGCCACCTGCACCGCGGCACGCACCAGGGCTGGGCTTGGGCCCAGGTCGGCGGAGCGCTGCACCTCGATCGGCCTGAGCCGCAGCCCCAGGGAGGCGTCCTTGGGAAGCTTCCCTGCCGAGCGCGCAGCCGCCAGGCGCCAGGAGTGAAGCTCGCCGTCGGGCACCCCTGTGACCGACCTGCCCCACAGCATGGCGGCGGTTGGGCCTGCGCGGTGCATGTGCGCCACCGCGGCCCCCGCCGAGCCCAGGGTTATCAGCCGCCTGGCGCGGGAGAGGCCTCCCACAGCGCGGGCGCCTCCCTCATGGACCCCTCTGCGGGTCACGTTGGCGTCGGTGCCCAGGTCGCGGGCCTGGGAGCCACGCTTGACCTCGAAGCCGAGGGCGGCCCAGCTGGCGGCGAGGCTGTCCGCCACCTGTGCAGGCGAGGCCAGGAAAACGGACTTGCCCCCATTGAGCGGGAGGCGGTGGGCCCGCAGGTGTCGCAGCACCTCCCCGCTGGCCCCCACGAGCTGGTCCACGACCAGCCTCGCCGAGCCGACAGCTTGGAGCGAGACGTCGTCCACCAAGTTGCGCAGGGTGGCAAGAGGCCGCTGAGCCCCAGCTGCGAGGAGGCGTCCAAGGAGGGGAAGCTTAGCAACAGCCGCCGCACACGCGCAGCCCGCCAGCACTGCGCCACTGGCCCCGAAGGGGGCCGACGCCATGCCACCTGCCAGCACGATCCTCGGGGCCTGGTAGATGGCGAGGAGGCCGCGCAGCAGCTTCAGGTTGAAGCCAAAGCGCTGGGCTGACGTACAGAGGACGTCGTGGCGCACGTGCTCATAGAACTTGCGGGTGTCCAGGAACAGGCTGGCCGCCTCGAAGTGCGGGGGGGCCATCGCGAAGCCCGCGAAGCAATTGTGGATCCAACCCGCTCTTTTGCAATCACGGCCATCGCGACCCCAGAAGAAGGGGAAGCTGTGGTCTGACTCCCATCGGGCACAGCGCGGCTGCCTCAGGCGAGACCAAAGCCGCAAGGCCAGCGGGAGCAGCGCGATGGGCCTCGTCCCTCCGCCAGTCTTAGGAATAAAAACCATGAGCGTCACCTGTCCCCTGATCGAAGAAGGCTCGTCCTCGAACGCCGTGAGGATGTCGATCAGGCGAAGCTGCAGCGCCACTGGCAACAGGAGAAGCTGGCGAGGGTGCAGGTTGCCGCAGCCCAGCCCCACAGACGGGCCGTAGCGCTTGCACGCCTGCTGCAAGGCCTCCAGGGTGATGGGCGGCAGCGCCCAGGAACCAACATCCCACTGGTGGGCTCCGACTCCGCTGGAGAAGCCCTCCTGGAGCCAGAGCCGCTGCCACGTGCGCGTGAGCTGGTCAACGGCGTCCATGCCGACGAGGGGCCTCCCTGTGTCGGCGTCCCTGACCACAGGCGTGGGGGCCGCCTTGGAGAAGCGGTGGGCCAGGCGGCCCCCTTTCTCCACCGCCGTCTGGGCCCAACTGCGCCAAGCGGCAGCTCCTTCAGCGGCATCGCGCCTCTGGGACGCCAGGAGCCACGACTGCAGCTTGGCGATCGCCGTGGGGCAGCCCTTCACCCCCGCGTGGAAGGCGAGGTCACCCCACTTCTCGTCGGAGGCCCCAAGGAGGGGCGCGCTCTGAAGACAAGCCTCCTCCTGGGTCGCATCGTCCAGGAGCTTCGCCCTCGCCGCAGCCTGCTGCTCATACCACCAAGAGTGGGTCGGGTGCCACCTGCTGGCCTGCTCGGCGCGAAGCCTCTGGAGGGCGACCGCCAGGCAGCTCCTGAGGCGGTGGGTCAGCATGCTGTACTTCAGCCTGGCCTCACGCTGCACCAGCGCGCTGAAGGGCATGCGCCTGGTCTTGGGCCCTGCCGCTCGCCCAAGGTAGCGTGGCAGGCCGCCTGGCGCAATCTCATGGATGCCCGTGAGGGTGCCCTCCGCCGCCTCGATCCACTCGCCGAAAGCAGCAGAGAGGCAGGTCGGGCGCGAACCCTGAGCCCATGACCAGGCAACATCATTATGCGACACCTTCCCGCGCTTGCCGACAGTGAAGGCCTGGACCAAGGCGTCCTCGCGGGAGCGCACGCCTTTGACCTCCACCTCTGGAAACCGAGCATGACGGGAGGGCACCTCAACGAGGGCATCGCACCTGACGTCCTGGAGGCGCAGCAGCACGGGAGAGTGCGGGCGCAGCCCGAAGTCGTTGAGCGTGGTCGCGCAGGACACCGTGCACGTGGCCAGGTCGGACGACGCGACGAACCAGTCGTAGACGTGCTCACAGCCCTGGGCAACGCAGGTCGCTTCAGAGGGTCCGAGCACCTGACCGCGAACCGCTGCAGGCCAGCCCAACTCCTGCAGGGGCTCAGGCTCCATGTTGAAATCCGCCTGGTGGACCAAGGGCAAGTCGAGCGAGAATGCCACGAGGTCCGAGACCGAGGAGAACAGGTCGAGGTTGATCCCCCGCGGGCCCAGGGAGTGCTGGAAGTACCCCGCCAAGGCCAGGAGGCGGAGGCCCGGCGGCGCCGTCACCTCAACGCCGATGAGGCGGTGGCGCAGGGCCGCAGGGAGCTGGCATGCTGACTCCTCGGCCTGGAGTCCAGCCCTCACCAGGATCGCGACGCCGCCCGACGTGGCGTTCGGGCCAGGCTGGCCCGTGGCCACCGCCTCATGGAAGAAGGCGGCGTAGCCGAGGCGGCGTGCCAGCGCCCTGGCCCCAGGGAGCCGTTCCTGGGTTAGCCTCGTCTCCTGAAGGAGGACCAACTGCGGCCAGTACTGGTGGGCGTGGAAGAAGGCCTCGAGGACCTCGACGCTCCTGTTCCATACGTTACCGTTGCAGCCCAGGACCTCCAGGCCAGCACGCAGGGGCCAGGTCCTCGAGGGTCAGACTCAGGGGCGGGCTGCGGCCCGAGGCGAGCCTTGCCAATGCAGGCCTCCTGCGCCGTCATCCTCGTCCTCTGGTCACTTGGCACCTTGGCTTCGCTGCGCCCGTCGAGGGTCTCGGCCACCCGCTCGTCAGCGGCCTCGACGGGGAGCGCGGGGGGGTGAGGGGCATCGGCCACCCGCCCGCCGGCGGCCCTCATCGCTCCCCCTCGGCCAGGTGCCGCACTCGCAGGTTCGCCCAGGCCCTGGGAAAGGCATTGGGCCCCCCACACCTCTGGCACCTGCTCACTCAGGCGCCGTCTGACCCTCCTGCTGTCAACCGAGCACTGGCCTGCCGAGTCGATGTCAAACCCGATTGCGGCCCACGGCAGCACGGCCACCAGCAGCAGTAGCCAGCGGCTGGTCGCCGAGGAGGGCTGCCCCAGCGTTGGCCAGGTCCCTAGCCAGCGGCTGGGCTGAGGGCCACGCTCCGTGCGCTTCTCCTCGGCGTGCAGCTTGGCCGCGCTCGGCCGCGTCCTGCAGAGGGGGGGCAGACGACGCCCGCACCCGCTCCTCCTCATCTCCGTCGAGGTCCCCGTCCGAGACGTCGAGGGGGGTGTCGGCCCAGGATGAGCGTCCCCTGGCCTCGGGGGGTGCATGCCTGCAGACCGCTGCAATCTGCTTGGCGACCTCAGCGAAGGCGGCCTCCCCATTGCCCGCGGCGAAGCCCTGGGGCAAGGCCTCGACCTGCTGGATGAGGCCGAAGACCATCCCGAGCAAGTCCGTGCCGACGAAGGCCGCGCCGACCTCCTTGGCCTGCTTGGCCTCTGCGGCCCTCTGCTCCTCGCGGTGAGCCTCGAGAGCAGCTCGGCACTCCTCGACCGCCTCAGCGCAAGCGGCCTCGCGCGCGATGGCCGCCTCACGCTCGCCGATGGCTGCCGCGTGGGCTTCCTCAGCCTTGAGCAGCGCCTGATCCTTGGCCCGCCCCTGCCTGACCAGCTTCCCCAGGGCGTTGCCAGCACCGTGGAGCGCCTTGGGCAGGGGGGTGTCGGCCTTCCTGCGCTCCGCCTGCGCCGCCTCGGCTGCCGAGAGCCTGCGCCGCTCGCGGTCGAGGGCCGCGCGCAGTGACTGCAGGCGCCCGTCGTCGATGGACCCCCCAGGGGCCGCGAGGAAGTCCTCAATGCGCTTGACCTCCAGGCGGTGCTGCTCGACGGCCGGCTGCTGCACGATGCTGGCCTCGCTGACGCCTGCCTGCCTGGCTGCCCCAGCGCTGGCCGCGCGGGCAGCAGTGCGCTTGGCCTGGCGCCTCGCCTTCCTCCCTCGGAGCTGGACGACGAAGCCCTCGGCGTCGGCGACGGGCGACTCCTGGCCGGCGGCAGCCGCGGGCGGACGGGCTGCCTTGACCCACGGCGGGGCCACTCGGTCGCAGCCGCGGCACTTCCAGAGCGAGCACCAGTTCCACTCCCTGCACATGCCGCTGGAGCAGACCCAGTAGCTCCAGTTGCCCTTGGCCTTGCCGCCCGCGGCGACGCTGGCCCAGGAGCGGCCTCCAGCAGCTTGCCCGTAGGCCACCATGGCAAGGCTGACCCCGACGCGTGGCCTCGCGGCCCAAAACTGCGGCCTCGCGGCCCGCGCTGTCGGCACGAAGAACAATCGCTTGTGAGCTGGCCCAAAGCGAAGAGCCCCTCGCGCTCAGAGCGCCGCGGACGACTCGCGGCCGTCGGGTGCTCCATGGCCTTGAGCCAACATGGATACGGAATGTGTCTGTGTCTGTGTCTGTGTCTGTGTCTGTGTCTGTGCCTGTGCCTGTGCCTGTGCCTGTGCCTCTGCCTCTGCCTCTGCCTCTGCCTGTGTCTGTCTGTGTCTGTGTCTGTGTCTGTGTCGGTGCCTGTGTCTGTGTCTGTGTCTGTGTCTGTGCCTGTGCCTGTGTCTGTGTCTGTGTCTGTGTCTGTGTCTGTGTCTGTGTCTGTGTCTGTTGACGCGGGGCCTATAAAGGCTAAAAAGAAGCCCACAAAGGGCCCAGGCCCCACTGAGGGGCCAAAGCCACAAGGGGCCATCCCAAGAGAGGGGGCGGGCCACAAGGGATCCCGAGAGCCCAGGCGAGCCGCAGAAGGCAGCCACCAGGGCACATCGGCCCCGAGGCACCGCTCGGCCTGTCAGCTCAAGCCCCCGTCGAGGGGCATCAGCGCGAAGCGCTGGAAAATATACAACAGCGCAGACACGCGACGGGCGACGCCCCCAACGTGCTTGCACAGCCCCAAGCGGCACGGCGAGGCACGCGAGGCGCAGAAAGCGACACGCACACACGCCGAGGCCCGCGGCCACCAGGGGTCCAAAAGGGACGGGCAGACAGGAGACGGACGAAGAGGGAGGACAGGAGGAGAGGCAGGCTGGCGCTCCACAGCCAGGAGCGCCCGAGGCTCGGCACGCGCTCGTTCACGCGGCCCGAGCGCCCCAAGGCTGGGGCCAGCGCGGACTCAATCTCCTCCATCCCCGTCATCTCTGCGCCGCTTCCTGCTCTGGCGCTCACGACGGGCCTCGTCGGCCTCCTCCGCCCAGCTCAGCAGGCTCTCCTCATCGAGGCCGTAAGCTTCCAGCCAGGCCTGCCGCGATCCCGCTCCCGCCGCGGCGCCACCGGCCGCAGCGGGCAGCTCTGTCGAGGAGGAGGCCGCAGCGCCAGCGCCGCCCCCAGCAGCGTCGGCCGCCGAGGCGCTACCCTCGACGACTGCTGGGGCCTCGGGCTGGACTCCGAGCCACTTCAGGAAGCGCACCCTGGCGTCCTGCGGCACCTCGGCCTCCTTGCGAAGGCGGGGGGCCTCCGCCCCCTTCCTCCGCGTGTCGCGGGCGCGCGGCGTGCCCCCAGGGTGGGGGCCACGCTCCCACCGCGACCTCTGGTCCCGCAGCGACCTGGGGAGGCCGGTTGCGCCAGGGCAGCGCTCCCTGAGCTTGGGCTGCGGGCCAGGGCGTCCGCTAAGCCTCGCATGCGCCCCGCACCTGGTGCACGCAATGATCCCCTGCTGGTCGCCGTCCTCACCGCACCTGGCGCACGCGAGGGTGTGCCCTGCGACGGCGAAGACCAGGGCGCCCAGCGCTACTCCTCCGTCGCGCGCCGCCGAGGCCCAGGCGCCGACAGCGGCGGGGCGGCTGCCAGCCTGCTCCCCGCTGGCCCCCACGGCGGCGGGCGGGGCGCCCGACCCGTTCACGGGAGCCGCCCGCGGGCCGTCAGCACACTCCTCCAGCGGGACCGCGAAAGTGACAGCAGTCCTCCGCTCGTCGCACTCAGGAAGGCCCTCGCAGTCCTTGGAGTCCCTGTCCTGCCAGACGATCGAGGCCTGCGCGATCCACCTGGAGAGCTCCCTCACGACCTCCATCGCGCCGAAGAACTCCCGCCTGGCCGCCGCGCTGACCCTGTGGAGGGCCGCCCCCGCCTTCGCCAACCTGTCGGCGTGGGCGTTCCCAAGCAACTGAAACTCCGAGATCCTGCCCTCGCGAACATCGATCTCGGTGCAGTGAGCCGCCACCTTGTTCACAGTGAGCGCGTCGACGTCCAGCGAGGCGTAGACGGCCGACCACAGGTGTGCATTGGGCTTGTTGGCAGCCGTAGCATACTTCCTGCCGAGCTTCAAGCAGCTGACTGTGGACGCACAGTCGATGTTGATCTCGGTGATCGAGGGCCCGAGGTAGCGGCTCAGCATCCAGACCGCGAAGTCCTCGCCGTCCTTCGCCGTCTGGAAAGGGGCGCAGGTCGAGGCGGACCGTGTCGTACACCCCCGCCTCCATGTTGCCGAACTCGTCGCACTGCACGATGCTCCAGCCAGCCCTGCGGATGCACTCGAACTCAGGGTCGAGCGCCGAGCCGTCGAGGAAGAGGCGACCGCCTAGCAGCCCGTCTGCTGGCCTGTTCACCCACATGACTGCCATCGCGTCCGACCTCCAGGCCGTCTGCGGGGGATGCGGCAGCCAGCACCTGGAGAAGCATTCTCCCGCTTCCTCACCTCGCTGCCTCACTCGAGTGGCGCAGCGACGGAGGCGGGCTGATACCGAGTCCCGCCTCTCAGCGGCCAGAGCTGGGCACTCGAAGAGCCTGTGCCAGAAGCTGCCACGCACTTCGCCGCAGGCGCAGCAGCGAGGGTGGCCCCGCTCCCCAGCCGCGAAGAGGCGAGTCTGCGGCCAGTGGGCGTTGGACAGGTAGCTCACCACCGCGGCCTTCTCTCTGCTGCTGAACCTGCCGCGCGGCCCGATGACCTGGCCGAGTGCGTCCCAAAACAAGGGCATGGAGGGGGCGGCTCCGTGCCCAAGCCGCGTCATCTCAGCTCTGTCGGAGGCCCTGCGGGCACCTGCCGCAGCCAGCAACCCGAGCTCGCGGGGGCCCATGGTCAGCATGTCCAAGGTGCGGCCGTCGTCGGTGCGCAGGATGTGCCCAGCCGAGAGGCGCCACCCAACCCGCAACAGAGAGAGGGCCAGTGCGTCGACTGGGTTCTTGCAGTTCACCCAGGGCACCCTGGCGCTGCCGTGCCTGCGCTCGGCCTCCTCCAGGCAGGTAGCGAACATCCTCAGGGGCGCCTCGCCCGTCTGAAGGAGGCTGGCTGCCACCTGCACCGCGGCGCGCACCAGGGCGGGGCTCGGGTCCAGGTCGGTGGAGCGCTGCACCTCGATCGCCCTGGGCCTAAGCCCTAGGGGGGCGCCCTTGGGAAGCTTCCCTGCCGAGCGCGCAGCCGCCAGGCGCCAGGAGTGAAGCTCGCCGTCGGGCACCCCTGTGACCGTCCTGCCCCACAGCATGGCGGCGGTTGGGCCTGCGCGGCGCATGTGCACCACCGCGGCCCCCGCCGAGCCCAGGGTTCTCAGCCGCCTGGCGCGGGAGAGGCCTCTCACAGCGCGGGCGCCTCCCTCATGGGCCCCTCTGCGGGTCACGTTGGCGTCGGTGCCCAGGTTGCGGGCCTGGGAGCCACGCTTGACCTCGAAGCCGAGGGCGGCCCAGCTGGCGGCGAGGCCGTCCGCCACCTGTGCAGACGAGGCCAGGAAAACGGACTTGCCCGATTGAGCGGGAGGTGGCGGGCCCGCAGGTGTCGCAGCACCTCCCCGCTGGCCCCCGCGAGCTGGTCCACGACCAGCCTCGCCGAGCCGACAGCTTGGAGCGAGACGTCGCCCACCAAGTTGCGAAGGGTGGCAAGAGGCCGCTGGGCCCCAGCTGCTAGGAGGCCCCCCAGAGGGGGAAGCTTAGCAACCGCCGTCGCACACGCGCAGCCCGCCAGCACTGCGCCACTGGCCCCGAAGGGGGCCGAAGCCATGCCACCTGCCAGCGCGATCCTCGGGGCCTGGTAGATGGCGAGGAGGCCGCGCAGCAGCTTCAGGTTGCAGCCAAAGCGCTGGGCTGTCGTCCAGAGGACGTCGTGGCGCACGTGTTCGTAGAACTTGCGGATGTCCAGGAACAGGCTGGCCACCTCGACGTGCGGGGAGGCCATCGCGAAGCCCGCGAAGCAATTGTGGATCCAACCCGCTCTTTCGCAATCACGGCCATCGCGACCCCAGAAGAAGGGGAAAGTGTGGTCTGACTCCCATCGGGCACAGCACGGCTGCCTCAGGCGAGACCAAAGCCGCAAGGCCAGCGGGAGCAGCGCGATGGGCCTCGTCCCTCCGTCAGCTTTAGGAATAAAAACCATGAGCGTCACCTGTCCCCTGATCGAAGAAGGCTCGTCCTCGAACGCCGTGAGGACGTCGATCCGGCGAAGCTGCAGCGCAACTGGCAGCAGGAGAAGCTGGCGAGGGTGCAGGTTGCCACAGCCCAGCCCCACCGACGGGCTGTAGCGCTTGCACGCCTGCTGCAAGGCCTCCAGGGTGATGGGCGGCAGCGTCCAGGAACCAACATCCCACTGGTGGGCTCCGACTCCACTGGAGAAGCCTCCCTGGAGCCAGAGCCGCTGCCACGTGCGCGTGAGCTGGTCAACGGCGTCCATGCCGACGAGGGGCCTCCCTGTGTCGGCGTCCCTGACCACAGGCGTGGGAGCCGCCTTGGAGAAGCGGTGGGCCAGGCGGCCTACTTTCTCCACCGCCGCCTGGGCCCAACTGCGCCAGGCGGCAGCTCCTTCAGCAGCATCGCGCCTCTGGGACGCCAGGAGCAACGACTGCAGCTTGGCGACCGCCGTGGGGCAGCCCTTCACCCCCGCGTGGAAGGCGAGGTCACCCCACTTCTCGTCGGTGGCCCCACGGACGGGCGCGCTCCGAAGACAAGCCTCCTCCTGGGTCGCCTCGTCCAGGAGCTGCGCCCTCGCCGCAGCCTGCTGCTCATGCCGCCGCGAGTGGGTCGGGTGCCACCTGCTGGCCTGCTCGGCGCGAAACCTCTGGAGGGCGACCGCCAGACAGCTCCTCAGGCGGTGGGTCAGCATGCTGTACTTCAGCCTGGCCTCACGCTGCACCAGCGCGCTGAAGGGCATGCGCCTGGTCTTGGGCCCTGCCGCTCGCCCAAGGTAGCGTGGCAGGTCGCCTGGCGCAATCTGGTGGATGCCCGTGAGGGTGCCCTCCGCCGCCTCGACCCACTCGCCGAAAGCCGCAGAGAGGCAGGTCGGGCGCGAACCCAGAGCCCATGACCAAGCTACCTCCTTCTGCGACACCTTCCCGCGCTTGCCGACAGTGAAGGCCTGGACCAAGGCGTCCTCGCGGGAGCGCACGCCTTTGACCTCCACCTCTGGAAACCGAGCAGGACGGGGGGGCACCTCAACCAGGGCATCACGCCTGACGCCCTGGAGACGCAGCAGCGCAGGAGAGTGCGGGTGCAGCCCGACGTCGTTGAGCGTGGTAGCGCAGGACACCGTGGACGTGGCCAGGTCGGACGACGCGACGAACCAGTCGTAGACGCGCTCCAAGCCCTGGACAACGCAGGTCGCTTCAGAGGGTCCGGGCACCTGACCGCGAACCGCTGCAGGCCAGCGACTCCGCCCGACGTGGCGTTCGGGCCAGGCTGGCCCGTGGCCACCGCCTCGTGGAAGGAGGCGGCGTAGCCGAGGCGGCGTGCCAGCGCCCTGGCCCCAGGGAGCCGTTCCAGGGTAAGCCTCGTCTCCTGAAGGAGGACCAGCTGTGGCCAGTACTGGTGGGCGTGGAAGAAGGCCTCGAGGACCTCGACGCTCCTGTTCCAGACGTTACCGTTGCAGCCCAGGACCTCCAGGCCAGCGCGCAGGGGGCAAGGTCCTCGAGGGTCAGACTCAGGGGCGGGCTGCGGCCCGAGGCGAGCCTTGCCAATGCAGGCCTCCTGCGCCGTCATCCTCGTCATCTGGTCACTTGGCACCTTGGCTTCGCTGCGCCCGTCGAGGGTCTCGGCCACCCGCTCGTCAGCGGCCTCGACGGGGAGCGCGGGGGGGTGAGGGGCGTCGGCCACCCGCCCGTCGGCGGCCCTCATCGCCCCCCCTCGGCCAGGTGCCGCACTCGCAGGTTCGCCCAGGCCCTCGGAGAGGCATTGGGCTCCCCACTCCACTGGCACCTGCTCACTCAGGCGCCGTCTGACTCTCCTGCTGTCAACCGAACCCTGACCTGCCGAATCGACGTCAAACCCGACTGCGGCCCACAGCAGCATGGCCGCCAGCAGCAGAAGCCCGCGGCTGGTCGTCGAGATGGGCTGCTCCAGCGTTGGCCAGGTCCCTAGCCAGCGGCTGGGCTGAGGGCCACGCTCCGTGCGCCTCTCCTCGGCGTGCAGCTTGGCCGCGCTCGGCCGCGCCCTGCAGAGGGGGGGCCGACGACGCCCGCACCCGCTCCTCCTCATCTCCGTCGAGGTCCTCGTCCGAGACGTCGAGGGGGGGTCGGCCCAGGATGAGCGTCCCCTGGCCTCGGGAGGTGCATGCCTGCGGACTGCTGCAATCTTCTTGGCGACCTCAGCGAAGGCGGCCTCCCCATTGCCCGCGGCGAAGCCCTGGGGCAAGGCCTCGACCTGCTGGATGAGGCCGAAGACCATCCCGAGCAAGTCCGTGCCGACGAAGGCCGCGCCGACCTCCTTGGCCTGCCTGGCCTCTGCGGCCCTCTGCTCCTCGCGGTGAGCCTCGAGAGCAACTCGGCACTCCTCGCCCGCCTCAGCGCATGCGGCCTCGCGCGCGATGGCCGCCTCACGCTCTCCGATGGCAGCCGCGTGGGCCTCCTCTGCCTTGAGAAGCGCCTGCTCCTTGGCCCGCCCCTGCCTGACCAGCTTCCCCAAGGCATTGCCAGCACCGTGGAGCGCCTTGGGCAGGGGAAGGTCGGCCTTCCTGCGCTCCGCCTGCGCCGCCTCGGCTGCCGAGAGCCTGCGCCGCTCGCGGTCGAGGGCCGCGCGCAGCGACTGCAGGCATCCTTCGTCGATGGACCCGCCAGGGGCCGCGAGGAAGTCCTCGATGCGCTTGACCTCCAGGCGGTGCTGCTCGACGGCCGACTGCTGCACGCTGCTGGCCTCGCTGACGCCTGCCTAGCTGGCGGCCCCAGCGCTTGCCGCACGGGCAGCAGTGCGCTTGGCCTGGCGCTTCGCCTTCCCCCCACGGGGCTGGAAGACGAAGCCCCCGGCGTCGGCAACGGGCGACTCCTGGCCGGCGGCAGCCGCGGGCGGCTGGGGACCCACGGCGGGGCCACTCGGTCGCAGCCGCGGCACTTCCAGAGCGAGCACCAGTTCCACTCCCTGCACGTGCCGCTGGAGCAGACCCAGTAGCTCCAGGCGCCCTTGGCCTTGCCGCCCGCCGCGACGCTGGCCCAGGAGCGGCCTCCAGCTGTCCGCCCGTAGGCCACCATGGCAAGGCTGGCCCCGACGCATGGCCTCGCGGCCCAAAACTGCGGCCTCGCGGCCCGTGCTGCCGGCACGAAGAACAATCACTTGTGAGCTGGCCCAAAGCGAAGAGCCCCTCGCGCTCAGAGCGCCGCGGACGACTCGCGGTCGTCGGGTGCTCCATGGCCTTGAGCCAAAATGGCTACGGACTGTGTCTGTGTCTGTGTCTGTGTCTGTGTCTGTGTCTGTGCCTGTGCCTGTGCCTGTGCCTGTGTCTGTGTCCGTGTCCGTGTCCGTGTCCGTGTCCGTGGTCTCTGTGTGTGTGTGTGTGTGCGTGCGTGCGTGCGTGCGCGTGTGTGTGTGTGTGTGTGTGTGTGTGTGTGTGTGTGTGTGTGTGTGTGTGTGTGTGTGTGTGTGTGTGTGTGTGTGTGTGTGTGTGTGTGTGTGTGTGTGTGTGTGTGTGTGTGTGTGTGTGTGTGTGTGTGTGTGTGTGTGTGTGTGTGTGTGTGTGTGTGTGTGTGTGTGTGTGTGTGTGTGTGTGTGCGTGTGCGTGTGTGTGTGTGTGTGTGTGTGCTGGGGGGGGGGCGCGTGGGAGCGAGCGAGACGGCTTGTGGGGGGGGCGTGGTGGCAGAGGGCCCTTGATGCTCCAAGATGGCTCCAAGAGCGCCCCAGATGCTGCAATATTGCCTCCAAGATGGCCCTCAAGACACCCTGCGACGGCGCAAGATAGCTCCCGGCATGCCTCCAAGAGGCTCCAAGACCACCCAAACATGGTTTCAAGTGCTCTCAGAGCCTTCCGAGGCACCCTTTCAAGAGGAACAAATCCTTCGAAACCTTGGAGAAACTGATGTGTGCGTACCTTTTCGCTTTTTGGCTTCCGATGGGCCTTTGAAGCCCCATGATGGCCCTAAGGTGGCCCAAACGAGCTCCCAAAGGTGCCGAAGAGGGCCCCAAGACGGCCCCACGAGCGACCTAAGAGCGCCCCGCGAGGGCTCCAAGGGACATGTTTTCGGCCTCCGAGGGGGAGGGAGGGGCTGAATTTAGAAACCCCTTTTTGTTTGACAATGGGGCACAAGATTGCCCCACGAGGCTTCCCAGACGCCCCCCAAGAGTCCCAAGATGGCTCCAAGAATGCCCCAAGAAATCGAAGAAGGTTCACAAGATGGCTCCGAAATGGCTCCGAGAGGCTTCCAACAAGCTTGCAAAAAGCTCGCGGCTCGAAAGCTCCGCGAACATTCCACAGAAACCCCCCAAAGGCACAAACCGTTGTTACCATAAGTGCGTGCAGCAGTTCCGCAGGAGCGCTTCGTCGTGCTTCCAACGTTTCGAGGCATAGGCCCCCAAGGTCGCCCCAAGCCGGCCCAAGAGGCCCACAGAGTTGCCCCAAGACGGCCGAGGAGGCACCCAAAAGGGCCGCATGATGGGCCCAAGAGACAGAGCCCGAAGCGTCATGTTGAGTCCTTCCCCGAAAGATTTCCCCCGAGACCGCCAGCATACCCAGAAGAGGCCTCCAGAGGACACAAGACGCCCCCACGAATCAACAGGAGGTCCACAAGAGACCCCAAGAGTTCCGAAGATGCCTCCACGAGGCATCCGAAAGGCCTTCCCGAGAGACCCCGAGAAGCCTCAAGGAAATCTCGTGTCGGCGACCTGGTAACGGTGGCGGGATGGGCCGAGGCCCACAACATCTGCCGCACCTGTTCATTACAGAGGTGCACGGCGTGCTGATGTGCTTCACTCTGTTGACAGTTTCGAGCTTTTCTCAAAGTTCCCAATGGCACGTGTCTTGGCTCGCCAGCCACACGGAAAGACCCGGACGACCCCCATCCAGTAGGCCCAAGATAGAGGTTTCGCATGAGACATCTTCACAACATTGAGATGCTGGCTCAAGACGGCCCAAGATGCCTCAAAGACAGCCGGATATGCCTCCAAGACGGCCGAAGATGGTCCAAAATGCCCTCCCGACGGCCCAAGGTCTCTGAGACGCCCCAAGTTGGCTCGACGAGAAACTCCAGGAGGCCAAAACCGTTGATTCTCTTCAGATAATTCGGTAATGTTGGTGTTCAAGACGGACCAGAAAGCCCCAAATATTGCGCCAAGACGGCCCAAGAGGCGTACAAGAGGCCGTAAGACTGCACAAACGGCCCCAAGACGGCCTAAGAGGCGCACAAGACGGCCCCAAGACGGCCCCACAGACCTCCAGGACGGGCCAAAAACGCTCAAGAGGTCTACGGCCAAGAGAGAACCCCAAGACGGACTCCGTAGGCCAAGACGTCCATGAGAGGCCCCCAAGTGCCCCCAACGTGCCCTCAACAGGCTCCCGGAGGCCCCCCAAAAGCCCCTCAGAGGCCGCCAAGAGGCTCCCAGGAAGCCCCCACGAAGCCCCAAAATGGCCTCAACAGGCTTCCATCTTCTTGTCCTCCTCCTCGTCGTCCTTCTCCTCTCTCTCAGCTTCCTTTACCTTTCTCCCCCGAGTGTTCTCCAAAAGGGGTTCCACAACGGCCAGGGGAACGCGCAGTCCCGCAGCCTGGCAAGGCCTCGGCACAACGCTTGGCCGAATGATCGCTTCAAAAAAGGCAGTGGTCGGCGGTGGTACGCCGTGCGCGTCTTCGACAAAAAGCCGCACAGCCATCAAAGTGCCCCATGGTTTATGCTGCTCCCATCGTGCGTAAGGACCACATCCCAGAAACAATTTCGAGCACCCGGAAAAATGTCGAAAGAGTGTCGAAAGAGTGTCGAACAGGGCCCGACACGTGAAAACCCTCGAGTTTCGGTACTTCTTTGGCGCTCGAAACTGGTGGCCAAGGCTAAGTAAGCTAGGTTGGAACATCATAACCCGTGGTCCGCTGAGCGCCCCCCGCGCCCTCCCGGCGGGGCCTCCGGGCCCTCCGCACGCGGAGCGCCGCCCGCCGCCTCCTCCTGGGGGCAGCCGAACGCGCCTGGCCCCCACGCCCTCGTGCCTGTCGTGCCGTGGGCCCGCAGACTGGGCGCGCACGACGGGGGTAGGGCAAGGGGGGCCTCGGTTGAAAATTATGTCATCAAAATTCTCATCAAAATTCAACAAGTTGTTTGAGATCTAATATTTTTTGTCCAACTCTATGATCTTATTCCCGCTCGCCATCTTGATCTCAGGTCAATCGGGTGGATATGACTACAAAAAGCATCGTGGCGGGATTTGCTACGGGGAACCGGCGCTCTGGGAAGGCAAGAGGCTCCTCAGGAGGGATCAGAATCCCGAGGCCGAGTCCAGTATCCCCAAACGGCGTGTTCAGAGCCAGGGCGGCTCCAAACACTGCTCGCGCGCCATCGTCGGCATTCTGCTTCCGATCGTCGTCGTCATCATTGTCTTAGTCGTCGTCGCATTCGTCGTCGCTGTTGCCCTGATCCTCCTCCTCCTCTTCCTCCTCCTTCTGCTCCTGCTCCTCCTGCTCCTCCTCGTCATCCTCGCCGTCCGCTTTCTCGCCCTTCCCCCCCACTCCATCTCCTCCTATGGACTCCTTCTCCTATCCTCCTGTGGTTCTCCTCCGCGTCATTGTTTCCCCTCCTTCTCCACTTTCTCCTCCTCCTTCTCCTCCTGTTTGTCCTCCTCCTCCTCCTCCTCCTCCTCCTCCTCCTCCTCCTCCTCCGCATGCCCCTGATACTGTTTGGGCATACCCTCCAAGCGCGGGGCGCTCACCAGGCGACACGGGCGGCAACGTGGCGCAACCTCGGCATACCCTCTAAGCGCGGGGCGCCCACGAGGCGTCCACGAGGCAGCAAGGGTCGCAACATGGCGAAACCATGCAATATCAACCAATACCTTTAACGGACCAAACCGTTGGCCACCGTGGACCGCAGACAGCAAGGTATGGCACCGAGGATGGGCAACCTGTGTGGTGCACACACGTCGGCCCCCCCACAGGTGGCAACGGCTGGCAACGGGCGGCAACGGGCCCGAACGTTGAGAACCCCCCGGGGCCCCCGGGCCCCTCGACAGGCGGCAACTGGCCGGCAAAGGGCCGGAACGTGGCGACTCCTCTGGATACCCCCAGAGGCGGCAACGGGCGGCCACTGGCCAGATCGTGGCGAATCCCCAGGACATCCCAACAGGCGGCAACGGAGCGGCAAAAAGCCGAAACGTGGCGAATCCTCGGGGCACCCATCAAATTCCTTGGGAGCGCAAGTAAGAGCCCCCAAGTGCAAGCACTGCTTTGGGGAATTACCCTGCGACGTACCCAACCCTCTCTATACATGTGGTGGTTACATTCGGGACCACTCAATGCTGACGGACATGCTGAAAAATCCGCAGTGCGGAAGAAGAGCACCCATCAGTGAACTCAGAAGAGCGCAGCAAGACGAGCAGCGGCAACGCGTAAGACGTACCTCCGCTGGGCCTCCCAGGAACCAACAGAAGTGGCGACAGCTGCGCAGATCGCGGCCCCCCGGGGCGCCGCGAGGTCTCGATGTGGTCCGCGTGGGACGTGCCTCCGCTGGGCCTCCCACGAGCCAGCGAAAGTGGCGACAGTTGCGCAGATCGCAGCCCCCCAGGGCGCCGCGAGGTCTCGATGTGGTCCGCGTGGGACGTACCTCCGCTGGGCCTCCCAGGAGCCAGCGAAAGCGGCGACAATTGGCGCAGATCGCAGCCCCCTGGGGCGCCGCGAGGTCTCGAGGCGGTCCGCGTGGGACGTACTTCCGCTGGGCCTCCCAGGAGCCAGCGAAAGTGGTGACGGTTGCGCAGATCACAGCCCCCCAAGGCGCCGCGAGGTCTCGCGGTGGTCCGCGTGGGACGTACCTCCGCTGGGCCTCCCAGGAGCCCACGAAAATGGCGGCAGCTGCGCAGATCGCAAGCCCCCTAGGGCGCCGCGAGGTCTCGAGGTGGTCCGCGTGGGACGTACTTCCGCTGGGCCTCCCAGATGCCCTCGAAAGTGGCGACAGTTGCGCAAATCGCAGCCCCCCAGGGCGACGCGAAGTCTCGAGGTGGTCCGCGTGGGACGTACCTCCGCTAGGCTTCCCAAGAGCCCGCGAAAGTGGCGACGGTTGCGCAGATCGCAACCCCTCAGGGCGCCGCGTGGGACCCACCTCCGCTGGGCCTCCCAGGAGCCACGAACGTGGCGACAGTTGCGCAGGTCGCAAACCCCCCCCCCCCCGAGGGCGCCGCGATGTCTCGAAGTGGTCCGTGTGGGACGTCCTTCCGCTGGGCCTCCCAGGAACCCACGACAATGGCGACGGTTGCGCACATCGCAAGCCCCCAGGGCACCGCGAAGTCTCGAGGTGATCCGCGTGGGACCCACCTCCGCTGGGACTCCCGTGAGCCTACGAAACTGGCGACGGTTGCGCAGATCGCAAGCCCCCCCTGGGGGCGGCGAGGTCCCGAGGTGATCCGCGTGGGGCCCACCTCCGCTGGGCGACAATTGCGCAGACCACAAGCCCCCCCGGGGGGCGGCAAGCTGCCGAGGTGATCCGCGTGGGACCCGCCTCCGTTGGGCTCCCCAGGAACCCACGAAACTGGCGACGGTTGCGCAGATCGCAAGCCTCCCAGGTGGCGGCGAGCTACCGAGGGGATCCGCGTGGGACCCACCTCCGCTGGGCCCCCCAGGAGCCCACGAAAGTGGCGCAGATCGCAGGTCCCGAGGTGATCCGCGTGGGACCCACCTCCGCTGGGCCTCCCAGGAGCCCACGAAAGTGGCGACGGTTGCGCAGATCGAAAGCCCCCGGGGCGGCGAGCTACCGAGGTGATCCGCGTGGGACCCACCTCCGCTGCGCCGCCCAGGAGCCCACGAGCGTGGCGACGGTTGCGCAGATCGCAAGCCCCCCCAGGGGGCGGCGAGCTACCGAGGTGATCCGCGTGGGACCCACCCCCCCTGCGCCGACCAGGAGCCCACGAAAGTGGCGACAGTTGCGCAGATCGCAAGCCCGACGGCACGGGAAAAGAAGAGGGGATCGCAGGAAACAGGAGAGGAGGAGGAGGACCCATTTCCTTCGAAAACCACGCGTTACTCCGCGTGCTCGCCTACTCGGCAATCACAACGTGCACAACAGGCAAAGAAACCTTCAACATCGCTCCCAGACGGCCAAAGGGGCCCAAAAGCAGGGTCGCTGAGGGTCCAACAACAGCCCACGAAACCCCCAAGACAGCCCAAGAGGGCCCCCAGACGGCTCCAATACGGAGTCCACAGGGCATCTTGTCGAGCCTTCGGCTCCAAGACGCTCCCAGCCTGCCCCAAGAACAACCCAAAAGGGCCTGCGGGACCTCCGAGAAAACCGTCGAGGCCTCCAAGAATCCACGAGGAAGTCCCCAAGAGGCCCCAAAACTACCTCGCACGAGCTCTTCTTCACCATCCGTGTGGCCGCCTACCTGTATACCGCGCAAGGTGGCGGTATGCGCCGCGTCCCATTCGACAACGACTCGTCCGGTTTTTGGACCGCCGCATGCCGTCTATGGGCGCGGGTGTTGACAGGTATTTTCACCGAATCGTCATTCCTCCTTTTCCTCCTCCGAGGACCCTCCTCCGCCTCTCCCCCATCCTCCCCCTCTTCCTCCTCTTCCTCCGCGTTCTCCTGTTTGGTACCATGTGACCACCTCCGCGTCTCATCATCAACACCATCACCGCCAGCATCATCATCGCCATCACCCGCACCATGACCACCGCCATCACCATCACCACCACCACAGATCACCATCACCACCGCCACGGATCACTGCCTTTTCGCGTGTCTGAACACATGTGATGCAAACCGCATCCGCCAACCCCATTCGGGGCCTCCAGACGTGTAAGATTCGTCCCGTGAAGGGCCCCACATGCCCCCGGACTCGCTCGGGGATGGCCCCGAAGAGCCTCGAGCCCGCCCACCCAAAGAAACAAGACAACACAAGTACGCCCCAGGACAGCAACACGACATCCCCAAGACAAGCAAGGACTCGGCGGATGTGGCGTAAGCCTATACAATCTTGCATATGCTACAAAAGCTGAAGCCTTGTATGTCGTGCTGTTACGAAAACGCACACAATGCTCGCGAAGTCCCCGCCTCGGGCGCCCCACCCCGCTCCTGCGCGGGCGCCCGGCCCCAGCGGGCCGGCGGAGCCAGCACGGTCGGCAAGGGCTGCAGCGAGGACTGCGGCAGCGGCACGAACCTTATGCAGGGCTTGGAGGCCCGGGAATGAACAGACCTCCTCCTCCTCCTCCTCCTCCTCCTCCTCCTCCTCCTCGTCATCATCATCATCCTCCTCCTCCTGATCCTCCCCCTGGTCCTCCGCCTCCTCGTCCTCCTCCTCCTCCTCCTCCTCCTCCTTCTCCTCACCCTTTGGAGGGGGGGGGGCGGGGGGCAGATCTTGCCGCCCATGCGGTGCTGGCAGCCTCCTCCTGGTCCTCCCCCTGGTCCCCCTCCTCCTCCTCCTCCTCCTCCTCCTCCTCCTCCTCCTCCTCCTCCCCGTGGAGGGGGGGCGGGTAGATCTTGCCGCCCCTGCGGTGCTGGCAGCCTCCCCCCCAACGGCCGCCCGGAGAGTGCGCCAGGGTCGCCGACCCCCCAGGCGGCCTCGGAAAGGAGCCGTTCCCGGAAATGGGCACCAGCACCAACACGCGGGGGGTTGTCAACGGGCGGGGAGATGATCCTGGATGTTGGTGCTGATTGTGATACTTCGGCCACCTGGGAAGCCCGAATACTATCACCATCAACGAGATCGGTATCTTCCTTCGGTGGAGGCACACCGCCGATATTGTTGTTGGTGATAACATCTAGGGCTCCGACAGGCGGTGCCGCCGTCCACGGTGGGGAACTTCTGTGCCACGCGAGCGGACGGCGCTCCGCTCCGCTCCGCGGGGCGGGGCGGGGGGCTGGGAGAGGCTTGGGACATTGCGCCGAGGGGCCCGGAAGTGGATAGCTTGTCAAGCCAAAACGTGGTGCGCCCGAACCAGCGGAGTGATACGCTGTGCCAAAGTTCCTGACCGTATGAGGGAGGAGGGCGGCCAGCCCTCAGACTGCGGGCGTCGATGGGACATGTGACAGCGAGCCCTTTGCGCCCCAGGGCCCTCAGGGATCGGTCCAGCTCGAAGTGTGGCGCCCAAAAAGACAAAGGGTGCCAGCTCCAACCGTGACGTGATGCATCCCGTGATGCCGTAAACCTGACTGTTCGACGTTGGATAGATATCTCGGATGGACGGGCCTGCAGCCGATCGGACAGCCCCGATCCCGATCGGCCGACGGATCGGCCGGGCCGGAGGCCTGCCTGAGTCCCGTGAGCTGTGCTGACCAGGGAGATCTGAGGCACGGGCGCTGCAGCCTTGGTGCTGAGCGGCGTGCGCTCGAGAACGGAGGCGCCGCGGCGCCCCAGCGCCAGCATCTTGCCCAGGCTGAGGGGCGTGCGGGTGTTGGCCACCGCTGCGCCGCCCTCGCCCAGGCAGCCCTCTGCCGCCTTGGGCGGGCCGCTCGGGCACGGCTGCCCTACGCCGCAGTCTGTGCCCGCCTTGGTGGCCGTGGAGGGCCAGGCCTGAAACTGGAGGAGGTCGTGAGGACCAGACGACATCGGCAGACCCGCGAGGCCGAAGTCGTCCTCGTCGGACTCGTCTGTCAGGTCCGCCCAAGACGACCGGTTCGTCTGGGTCGTCTGCCCTGGTCCCGGAGAGGGGCAGCCCTTAGCATCGCTTGCGAACTCCAGGAGCGTCTTCCTGAAGATGGCATTCGTTTCATCGTTGTTCATCCTGGCAACCACAGGTGCCATGGAGAGGAAGATGTGTAAAGTAGAAAGGCGAGGCCGATCCTAATCTTGAGTTTATCGAAGTAGATCGTTATTCGTGCTGTGCGCCACCGACGGGGTGCAAGCCACACCCGGGTTGACTTGAGCCAGAAAGTTCGCGGATGGGAAGAAAACATATCCGTCGGATGGGCACAAGAGCGAGATGAGGAGCGATAGCGAGAGAAAGTAGCAGCAAGCAGTGATTAGCAAAGCATCTTTCAACTCCGGCGGCTCCTCCTCCTACTCCCTCAGTCGCCTCATCCTCCTCAAAATTCCTCCTCGTCCTCCTCCTCCCTCCGCCTCCTCCTCCCGCCGCCGCCTCCTCCTCCGTCTTCTTCTCCTCTTCCTCACCCACGTTTCCTCGGTGAAATTAACTCCCCCCCGTCGCACCGCTAAACGTGTCCGTAGACAGGGCCAGCCGTTTCGCTTGAGATAGCCGTACAATGTTCTCAAGCGTGGGCCCCAAGCAGCGTGTTCTAACATACAAGGTGAAGCAACGCACGTGGTGCAAACTATGCTGTGCAAGCCACGAGGTGAAAGGTCTGTAAGGCTCGTCACTTCCAAGGTGCTACTCCCTCCTTCGTGCTGAGCACACTTGTTTTAAAAGCTTCCACCCGTTTCAAGGATGGAGGGCGGGTCGCTTCCAAAATGCAGCGCTCGCCGCGACGCCGCGCACTCTGGTTTGGAAACTTCCAGCGAAAACATGGGCGGAGGGCCGGTCGTTTCCAAAACGAATCTCTTCCGCCCTGGCGTCGCGCACGGCCGTGATGCACAACCTGTCAGCCAAAGGAACGGAGAGCGCGCGTTTTTTCCAAAACGTGGCGATCTTCTCAGCGCCGCGCGGACGCGTGACAAAGACCTCGGAAGTTACAGGGATGGGGGCCTGCTTGGTTTCAAACCTGCCGCTCTCCCTCTCGGCCTTCCCCGAGCTCGATTGCTCGAAGTTCAAGCATGTTCAACAGCTACATGGGTTGGGAGTGACTGCTTTTCAAGAGAAGGTTCTGGCCTGAAGCTTCACTGTGCAACGGTCATTGCCCGAAACAAAAGAACACTGCGCAAAAAAACACGAATGGATGGCGAATCCTTTTCGAAATGGAACTCTTGCTGCAGACTCCGCCAAAATACATGACCAAGACTGTCCAAGTGTGCAACACTTGGACGGATGGAAGCGAAATCGTTTTCGAAACGGGTCTCGCGCTGGCCGATTCCGGAAACCCTACACCCAAAACTGTTGTCATCCCTTGGGGGCGCATCTCTTACTTCCCCCCGCTTCCACCGGCGGTGGCGGCCTCGTTCGTCGTCCGCCGATCTTCCGCCGCCCTTCCGCCGCCTTCCGCCGAGGAAGAGATGCCAGCTCCTTCAACCGGGGGCGCGCAAACATGGATTAGTGATCCATGGACTTGGCGCGCGGTCTCCAAATCCATGGATCGGGGCAGGTGCCTTCTTCAGAATGCGGCCGGTGCCGCCTCGCTCGGCGGCAGAAATCTGCGATTCCCCGCGGAAACGGGACCCGTCGCTCATCCACGCCCCTTGCTCCATGCTTGCGATCGCCTGATCCTTCAATCCTCGAGACACACAATGTTTCGTCTGACTTCGGACCAGAGGACTTGTTAACTTGCCCGGTGGACGCCGCTGTGACCTGACCACAGCACCACACCAGGGGATACATTAACCAAACATGGCCGCGAGGATTGCCTGAGTGAGCTTGACAAAGCAATCCTCGAGGGCAGGGCCTTTTTCGGAACTCCTCCGCTGGACACTCCCGGGAGCCGCGTGGCCCTACGAGACTGCGGCCCTACGAGCATTGCAGGTGCATCCTTCCGGTGGGCAGGCCCGTGGGGCGCTCGTCTGTCAAGGGGGGGCTGCTTGCCAGAAATGCTTCCTCCTCCTCCTCCCATTCCTCTTCCTCCTCCTCCTCCTCCACCTCCTCCTCCTCCTCCTCCTCCTCCTCCTCCTCCTCCTCATCCTCCCCCTCATCCCCCTCCTCCCCCTCATCCCCCATCCTCCTCCCCCATCCCCCTCCTCCTCCTTCTCGTCCTCCTCCTCCTCCTCCTCCTCCTCGTTCCGCCAGCGGCGAGGCGAAAACGCACCACCGAGCAGCGATTCGGGGCAACCGATACGCGAGTCGGCCGGCGTGCAAGATGGGGAGCAAGACAGAGACACGGCGGCGAAAGACAGGAGGAAGCGGAGGGCACTTCGACGCGGAAAAATCTCAAGCTGAGTGCGCTGGCGCGGCCAGCAGCGGCAGCGGAGGCCGTGGCAGCAGCCGGGCTTGTCGGAAATACACCTGCAGTGACCTATGGGGGTCGGACTTGGGGACGGGAGGGATTTCTGCAGAATCGCTGATGCAGATTGGGCTTAGCATGGTCCCCCTCCCCCTCTTTATTTTGCTCCTCCTTGATCTCCTTCTGCTCCTCCTCCTCGGATCTCCCCCGATCGCACCCTCGATCTTCTCCTCGATCCTTGGAGCGAGCGAGCTTTCGAATCTCGTCATCGGCATTTGGCACCTGCGGGTTGACTGGCACAGGTGTCGGCGACAAGGCACTTGCGGGGCTTCCGAGCCACCGCTTGTTTTTGTTCCATCCTGCGCGCCGCAGGTTTTCGACGAAGCACTAGGACTACCACCCCGCCCCGACCCCTCCTCGGCCACATGGGCTGTGAGGGCCACCTCGGGTATGATCGCTGGTCAAATTGCTGATCGTGCCACTTCTCGCTGCCCTTCTCTGCATTGGAAACGTATGATGATATGTTGCTGAATGACCTGCTTCGTTAACGTTGTCATGCAGTCATTGCAAATGATGCGGCTGATGATGCTGCTGATGATGATAGTGATGGCGATGATGCTGATAGCGATGATGATGAGAATGGTATTGATGTTGATACTGGTAATGGTGATGCTGCGGATGATGATGACGATATGGTGCTGATGGTGATGATGAGGATGATGATGATGATGGTGACCATGATGATGATGCTAACGATGATGATGATGATGATGATGATGATGATGATGATGATGACGATGATGACGATGACGTTGATGAGGATTGTAATGATGATGATGGTGATGATGACCATGATGATGATGACCATGATGATGATGATGATGATGATGATGATGATGATGATGATGACCATGACGAGTATGCTGGTGATGCTGCTGATGAGATGATCGTGGTGGTGATCATGATCGGCATGGGTTTTTTCTTCCACAGCGGGCGCGGCCTGCAGCTGCTCGCTCGGGCTCCAAAGTCGTGCCGCAGCACAGCTTCCTGCCTCCTCCTCCTCGTCCTCTTGCTTTCCCCTGCTCCTCCTCTTCCCCCTCCTCGTTATCCTCCACCTGCTACCGCCGCCTCCTCCTTCTGTCACTCCACCTTCTCCGCTTGCCTCAGTCCTGATTTAAGTTTGACTCCAGATAGACACGCTCCAGGGTGTGAAGCTTGGCGATGTCTGTTCGCTGGGCGGACAGAGGGAGTCGACGTGTGACCCCGGAAGGTTGTGATGGCAGAAACATGTTGTCACACAACTTGGAAGCATAAAGTGTGCTCAATCCTCTTGAGTGACCGTGCCGTATACTCTGCATTCTACAAAAAGAAAAAAGACTATGCCCCACGTCTGGAGTTGGATCGCCTCCGGCATGACTCGTTTCTTTCACTCCTCCTTTCTGGGCTGGTGCATGGGCATCATAATATTCTGGTCCTTACTCGGCCCGAACTGAGGGTCAGACCCAGACGCGCAAGGCAGCACGAGGTTGTCGATCACGCGTAGCTCTGACAGACCAAGGTGCAGCAGGATGTTGAGAAAACTTCGCAGGATCACCATCATCAACTCCATCAGCATCATGTTCTTCACAATCATCAGCAGCAGCAGCATCAGCATCATTATTGACCATCAACGACAATATCATCATCATCGTCATCATCAGCAGCATCATCTTCATCGTGTTCATCATCCTCATCATCCTCGTCCTCATCCGCATCGTCATCTCCATCCGCATCCTCATCAGCAGCATCGGCATCACCATCACCATCAGCATCGTCATTAGCACCATCATCACCATCATCGTCACCACCACCAGCATCGTCATCACCAGATCCATCACCACCACTTTCACAGTCACCATCAGCATCACCCTCACAATCATCGGTATCATCACCATCATCAGCATGATCATCATCAGCAACTTCGTCGTTACAAGCATCAGCATAATCGTAACCCCCATCATCATCGTCACCAGCATTTCCATAATCATCGTCATTATAAGCATGATCAGCAGCATCATCAACTTCATCACCATGAGCATGATCAGCATCATCGTCATCATCAGCACTGGCATCATCAGCAGCATGATCAGCATCACCATAAGCAACATCATCATCATCATCATCATCATCATCATCATCATCATCTTCATCATCATCATCATCATCATCATCCTCCTCCTCCTCATCATCATCATCATCATCATCATCATCGTCGTCGTCGTCGTCGTCATCGTCATCGTCATCGTCATCGTCATCCCATCATGATGCCTCCCTGTGACCCTCCAGGCTTTTCCTGCTCCTCATCATCAGCCACACCCCTCCCTGCCACAAACCCTCCCTTCCCCCTGATTCCCACGGAGCCCCAACTGTGGCCCTCTCTCCACACCGCTCTGGCGCTCGGCGGGCGGCAAGGCGAAGCGCGGACAATGGGCAATGCTCGCCGCAACCACATTTCCGATACCCCCCCCGCCGCCATCCAAAGGAGCAGGGGGAGGGGAGGGAGGAAAACGGAACGGGAAGATGATGACGGGGATGCAGACGAGGGGAAAGGAGGGGAAGAGAGGGAGAGGGTGACGATGAAAGGGAGGAGGAGGAGGACGAGAAGGAGGAGCAAATGGGGGAGGAGGGGGGAGCGATCTCGGCTGGTGCAGCTGCAGTCCCCAGGGGTCCCTGCTGTTTCCCCGAAAGCCCGCCCCGCCCACCGTATGCTATGTCGCATTC